TTCTGTATTATGTATAATATTTATTATGTCGTATGTACTATGTAAATTGTATTATATATATATTATATATTACATATTATATATTATATAAATTATTATATATAGATATTACATATTACATATTGTATATTATAGATTTTATTTATATATTATTATATATATTTATCTATTTATATATTATTATATATTATATATACACACTTATACTTATATATATATACATGTATATATATCATATATTATATGATATGTGTATGTATATAAATAAGAAATATAAATATGAATAAATAAATAAAAAAATCTAAATAAATAATATAAAGTATATATATATATATATTTATATATCGCATATTGTATATCATATGTCATATATTGCATATCACATATTGTATATTGCATATTATATACTGCATATAATGCATAATTTAAAGTATATAATATATAATATATACTGTATACATAATATACAATATATATATATATATAATATAATACTATTTATTATTAATCAATTTATTATTTATTATTCATTATATAGTATATTTTATATATTATGTAGTATGTATTATATATTGTTCTTTGAAGCCATTGGAATAAAACATGTAGAAGTAGAGTTTTTCCGATGGAAACACAGAGATAATAGAGGATTTCTCATGAAAACGTGAAGACAGTAGACGTTTTCTTGTGGGAGTATGAAGAAATAGATGTTTTCCCATTGAAAGATCGAGAAACTAGAAGGTTTTCCAAACACTGCCACCACTTCTACGCATCGTGCGAACATTGTTTGCAAATGGGGGGGGCTGCGCCCCCCCCAACCCCCCCGCTGTTTTTTTTAAGCTGTGCAAAGCGTGCTGCAAAGCCAAGTGGGGGGGTGTGGGGGGGGGGGGGGCTGCGCCAACCCCAACCCCGCCGCGTTTTTATCAAGCTGTGCCACTGCAAAGCGTGCTTTATGAATCTTGTTGAAGCCATTGGGCTACTAAAAGTTTAAGTTTTTCTTAAAATACATGCAAATAGAGGTTTTCCGATGGAAACATAGAGATGATAGAGGTTTCCTATGAAAACGTGAAGAAAATAGAGGTTTTCTTGTGGGAATATGAAGAAATAGAGGTTTTCCTATTAAAAGATCGAGAAAATAGAAGGTTTTCCAACCACTACCACCACCCACTACTACCCACCCCCCCCCCCCCCCCCCCCCCCCCAACCCCCCCCCCCCAACCCCCCCCCCCCAACCCAAAACCCCCCCCCCCAACCCCCCCCCCCAACCCCCCCCCCCACCCCCCCCCCCCCCCCCGCTGTATTCCAAGAGGAAAATGGGTTATTTTTTTTTTTGATGCTTATTTATTTTTTTTTATCCCTTGGGGTTATTTTTTTTTTGATGCTTATGTATTTTTTTTGATCCTTCACCCTTTTACAATAGTAGACAATAATATACAAGAATATACAATAATATACTATAATCTGCAATAATATACAAAGAAAATTCAAGAATATACAATAATATACAGTAACCTACAAAAAAAGAGAACAATATACAATAAATTGAAAAATATACAATAACATTCAATAATATGCAATAATATTCAATATCACACAAAAACATAAGAAAACACAAGGCAATACAATAATACTCAACAATATACAACAACGTACAATAACATGCAAGAATATACAATGTCAAACAATATTATACAAGAATATCCACAATACTATGCCAGAATATACATGCTTCAGAGTATGCGCATTTTTGAAACTTCTAATGCCAAGATGCCAGCATTGATTTGCAGCCTCTGCAAACTCAGAAATGCTGCTATTCACAGTATTTCCAGCCTCTGAAATCGCAGAAATGCTGCTATTTTCCGTATTTGCAGCCTCTGGAAACTCAGAAATGCTGCAGTGTACAGTATTTCCAGCCTCTGAAAGCGCAGAACTGCTGCTACAAACAGTATCTGCAGCCTCTTTGGACACTCTGAAATGCGCAAAAATGCTGTGTTTTTTCGGTATTTAAAGCTTGCGAACGGCCAGAACTGCTGCATTTCTGAGCGTTTACAGCCTCCGTTCCGCTTGCAAGAAGCCTTCGAAGCCTTCAGTAAATTATTTTTTGATCCCAAGTAAGTTTTTTTTGATCCGCCTAGAAATACATTATTTTTTGATCCCAAACAAATGTTTTTTTGATCCCCTACCCTCAAGTGGGAGCCATAAAGAGGAGCCTCAGGGAACCACGTCTCACGTCTCCAAAATGCGTCTTTTTTTTGCGCGTTCTGAGTTCTGCCCCGAGGCGACGGGGAGTAAACGGGGAGCAGAGTGGCAGATAGCTCCTGAAGCGCAACCGGGTGGGCGGGTGGGCCCTCATGGAGCACAGCTGCACGGAAGGGCCAGCACAGCCGAACATGAAGCGAGTGAAACGAAGAGAGTCCGGGAGAAGACCTGCTGAGCCAAGGCCCACGATGAGCGCACAATATGGAGATAAGTTGCAAGGAACGCACAAGGTCCCCTAGTGCGACAGAATGTGTAGGAAGCACAGTACATTTCATCATCAAACTGTCTGCGCAGTTTCTGATGTGTTCGAAAGCAGGCTTCAACATCTTGATGCCGAAAATGACCTGCTTGAGATGCTTCATGAAAATGCCGTTGCATGTCGTTGAATGTAGGGACCACACTGCAAACCTGCAATGAAACTCAAGCTGGTTGCCCGCCTGAACTTCATGTCTTGATCCCCTTCCGTCTCTTTGTAGTCAGAGAGCCTTAGACCATAGCTGCAGTGCATCAAGGCAAAGAGGATCGGCAAAAGGCAAACATCAGAGGCGAGGTGGCTGATAGCTCACAGGCTCGTCTTCGCCTCCTGTGAGAGAATATGATTGCCTTGAAGGTGCGACACCACCCCTTCTTTATCGGAATTGACTTCCAGCAAGTGCTCAAGCGGGAGGCGAGACTCTTCGGATCCCAGAACTTCCATTTCTTAGAGGAACATCCGCTTTTTTGCGATCAAAATCTCGCCCTCTTTTCCTTGCCTCTGCAAAAATCTCAGAGTAGATCGAGATTGCAGAGCAGAGATCATCTGTAGATCTTCTCTCGTTGCCCTGAAGGTGCCCGTGCCGCCTTTGCGTCGCGTGTCCTCCTTCGCCGCGCGCGCGGAGGAAAAGGCAGAGCACGGCTCACCTCGGCTCTTCCGTTCAAGGGCTTTGGGCCGGTTTGGGGGCTCTTCTTGGCATCTTTTGACTGTTTTTCGTGTGTTTCTTAGTTTCATTGTTTTCTTTCGGGTTACTCTTCGACAGAGTCTCCGGAAGGTCGCCAGTCCATTCGAGGGCAGGTTCGGGCGCAAGGCCCGGCCCCGCAACTTGCGAAAGCTCTCCAGCGAGGAGAGCACTCCTGACACTGACATTTTGCCATGAGAAAGGCATGCGGCCAGCGAACAGAAAATAAAGGAGAAGCCGAAATGTGTATGACCCAAATCGCACCATCAATGCACGAAGTCCGCGGGAACAACTCGGAACAGCCAATCCCGAACAAGCAGCCTTGCACTGGAGCAGGTGTTCCGGTCGTGGTCTTCGTCTCAGGTGCCCCTGCTGCAAAAAAGTCTCAAGTTGTTAGTGCCCTGGTTGGTGCCCACTGGTGGGTGCCCTGATTCTACGTGCCAGGATATCCGGGGTTGGGAGTTCTCCTTTGTGGACACTGAGTGCGATCTACCGTGCAGAGCTATATCCAAGGTGGAGGTGCGATGCCCGGGTCGATCTTAAGTGTTCAGAAACCCGTCTTTTTTTTTCTGTCGCGTCGTCAAATCGAGTGCCTCTTTTGGCAAGGATGAGGAGCCTGGCAAGAACAGGTGGCGGGCCCCAGCTCTGCCCCGGTCAGCTTCTTCTTTTCTTTACTCAGGGGCTTCTTGCGGCCCCTTCTACACTTCAGCGCTATACTCTCAGAGTAAGGAGAAAGACCTTTCGAAGAGCTTCAACCCTGGGCGATCTGCGGAGGGCGCGGCGCTTGAAGAGGGTCCAGGACACAGACCACACAAGAGAAGTCAGTGGGAGTCGGAGAGTGGGGGAGAGTCGGAGAAGAAGAAATGCAGGGCCATGTAGGGAGGGTTGGGGGCAGGGGGGCAGAGGAGGAGGCGACAGGGGGAGGTGCACAAAGACGACTCCAAACGTCATAGAGCTGAACTGAACCTTGGGAACAACAGGATATTTCAATATGGGGAACAATTGAGTGCTGTTGAATACTTGATAAACAGCAGGACCCATCATTCTCTGCCGACACCAACATGTTTTTTTTTACTTTGCCTCTGAGGCTGCCAGCACCACCTTCAGAACGTTGCTCTCGTGAGACTCTGCGCTGACACAAAAAAGATTTTGGAGAGAAGGCAAGTTGATTTGAGATCTATCCAGCTGTATATAATTGGAGTCATGTCTAGCAAGCCGCAAGATTCACCAAGCCCGAAACAGACATCCGGGAGATCCGTGTATAAATATGTAATTCTATGTATGTATGGTACGCAAGTGGCAAGACAGCTCGCTTTTGGCTGTCCTGGACAGCCTGTGATCAACTTGCTCATTGTCGGGCTGCTGTTTGAAGAGAACGCTCCTAATTCATGCGTGCTCCTGAGGAAGTTATATGCGAAATTGTACTTCTAGACCGTCTCGGCTGTCAGAAGAGCAGAAATGCTCCTAATCCAAGCGGAGTTTTGTGCCGTAGGGAATTTAAAACAAGGCCTAAAATCTTCCTGGCCGAACTGCATTCGCCAACCGCTTCTGGGATAAGCCTCGGCTTGACATCGGCTAAGAGAAGCTAAAAAGGGTTAAGCCTTATACGAAGCGCGCTTTTGAGCCTCCAAAGAGAGCCCTGTGACCAGTAGCCCAAAAATCCCATTGCGAGAGCCGTTCCTGGAAGCGGTTCCTCTTTGCCTTTTCCGTTGGTGGAGCTGTGCATCACAGGAACCACCTGCAATGCTGACAGAGCATTGCAGATTATCTACCCTGGCGGCTGTGCGCACCTAGCACATGCCTGCACCCATGTCGATAGTGCCTGTGATTCAGCTGAAAGGAGCCCCAAGAAAACACGTGACTTGCACCGCCCCACGGCCCTGCATCGCGGAGTGCTTCAGCAGATCGCAGGCCGCTGACGCAGTTCGGCCGCAGCTGATTGGAGTGCTGGCCACGTCTGGCCCTGTGGTACTGTGGTATGTACTGTACTGTTTGCAGCTGATTGGGCAGAACCATGTGGACGGTAGAGGATTGAATGGTGCTTTGCAAGCGCCCTGAGGTGCAATCAGTTCTCGAGCGAGACCATCCGCTACTCTTTGGGCGAGGCTTAAGTTCGACATTTCTCCGAATGTGTCAAAATTGCTGTAAGAGAGAGGAAGTCACGCGCCTTCACCAACTCTCAGTTTTAAGTCACTCAACGCCCTCCTCTAGCCCTCTGACACAGGTGGAAACGTCTCAGCGGAAGCTGCTGTGCGCTGCTCTGGCGGAGGTGGTCAAAGACAGAATGTGCTCTCTGAAGTGTGCGTTCGAATTTAGGGCGCGGTATAGCACACACCATTTGAAGATGCGTGCCATTTCTTATTTGGATCTATGCCGCGATATGAAAACGGAGCTCAGGGGACGGTGTCCGAAAGCAAAAGGAACTGTCCAGGGTGCTTCCGACGAGGGTGCTAGCGAGGGTAAGTGCCCTCGGCACCCCGAATGGCACTCTTTTCTCTCTGCCTGCGCATTGCCTCCTTACGCTGCCTTAAGCCAGGGAAATCTCGTGTCCGTCTTCTTTTGCTGCACGGCGAACAAAATTGTTAGAAAAGGCTCTTGGAGGCATTCGGCGGTCACCTTGAGGGACCACAGCCTGCGTGGACCTTCACAGGACTTCACTACATCACTTTTCTCACTTTGCTGCCAGGGGTTCGTCCTGGATCTCCTTCCCTCCTGGCAGAGGGGTTTGCAAACAGGGTTGTTGGATGTTGTTGGTCTGTATAGTACGCAGCCCGGCAGCGGGCCCCTCTTTGCCAGCGACGACCAACAAAACCGTTCGCATGGTCGTAGCATTTGATTCACTACTTAACTACTTTCACGCCTGACCGAGTGTGCCCCCGGAATACCCTCGGTACTCTCGGTGGTATACATCTCAGTTACTTTAGTTCCAGTTGCTTAATATCAGATTTTAGGTGCAGGTGTTTCTGACTCTGACCGGCCATGTTCAGGCGCCAGACTCGCGGCTCATGGCCTTGGGCGCCGCCGCCGCGGAAGACCCCGCGGCCTGCAGCTGAGATCTTTCAGTGGTCTTTATCACTTTAAACAAGGGGTAAAGCGGAAGGGAGGGCGAAAATGAGTGCACGAGCGTGGGGCGAAAAATGCTCCAAGTGCTCTCCGTCAGGTCACTGTGGCGGGCAGCGCCGTGCGGGCCGCCTCCCGGTCCCGCAGCCGGGCCATGTCGCCCGCGAAGGTGGATCTCCTCACTGTTGCTTTCAACTCTGGGTTCCTTCTCCAATAGTTTTTTTGTGTGTTGGGGTGCCCCTTAGCTGCCGCTCAGTGCTCTCTCTCTCTCTCTCTCTCTCTGTGGAACACACCGTTCTCTCGCTGTTTGCTCCTCAGCCCTCCTCGCCGGGCCCCTCGCCGACGACGCGGGGAAGCGGAGCAGGAGGGAGCGCTCCGGGGCCTGCCGGGCGCCTCAGAGTCAGAGTCAGAGCTCTCTCAGAGCTCTCATTTGAAGAGGGGCATGCCGGGGGGGGCGGGGGGGAACCACCATGTTGTTCTGTTTTCGGACTCCGTTCTCCTTTTTTTTTTTGCTTGTTTTCAGGTTCTGAGCCGGCACCACAGCCGCTCCAACCTGGGGAAGCCGCCCATGGACGCCCGGCTTCAGTCGGGCCTACCTTAGAAGGCTCCGGGGTATAAGTCGGGGTTGCGGGGTTTGTTGGAGCAACTGGCAGGCTTCTGCGAAAAAGCCTAACCTGACTTCGGGGTACTGGCCCATGGCGTGTTTTTCGGGGTGCAGCGGGCGGTTTTTTTTTTTTTTTTTTTTTTTTTTTTTTCCGTCAAGTTGTTCCTATATCTGGTTGGGGCCGGACGTGAAAGCCGACGTTGCGGTCCTTGCGGGGTTTGCTGGGTCAACTGACAGACTTACAGCGGAGCCCAAAACAAACAAACCTCGGGCCCAGAGGGAGATAATTTTAACGCTACGCGGCCCGCCTCGGCCTGGCCCAGCGCAGCCTCGTGAGCATGTGCATGGTTGCGGGAAGCTCTGCAGCTGCGCAAGGTCACATAGGCATCCAGGCATGTGGTGTGCCTCGGGTGCGGCGAGCATGGTGCGGCAGGAGGTTGGGGGGGGGGGGGGGCTGGCAGGGCGGGGGTGGGAGGGGGTGTCAAGCCCAAAATTGCCCTGTTGCGCCGTCCGCGCCGCCACCTCGGGGGGTACCCCTTGCAGGCAAAAAACGCCAAAAAAAAGGGGGTGCAAAGGGTCCCGTGCCGTTGGGGATTAGAGTGTGCCACCCATACACCTGCGGCCGAGGCCTCAGCGGAATCTGCCGACGGCTGTTGTGTTTTTTTGTCGCTGACCGAGGATCCCAGCGGCCCTGGGCGGAGATCTGACTCGCAGAAGCGTGGGGAGAATGGGGAGAGGTCCCCATCTATTGGAGAGGTTCTTCAGCCACTGGGCCCCATAGGCCGCTTGGACGGCCAGAAGATGTGGGCCCCTTTTTCACGGTAGGCCCTGAGTGTAGGCCTCACGAAGCCACCGCTCACAACTCAGCCTACACGCTATAGACGTATAGACTCACTGGACGTTGTTCCAAAGCCCCCAAAAGTCTGCATGAGGCCTCACAGCACGCCATCAAGTTGCTTCAGATTTCTCAGAAGTTAGATGCATGCCGGCTGTATTGCTTCACTGAGATGCTTCATTGAGGCACGTTTGAACATAGCGCCATGGACATAGCCAGCCATTGCGAATCCAGGATGCATGCACGATATTTACACCTTGCAGCTCAAAGCCGGGCTGCCAGGCTGCTTTGCACACGTTTCCGGCGTCGAATCCATGGAGGTCCCGAGACCCCATCGCATGCAGAGAAAAAGAAGGCACGCTGCGCGTGGAAGTTTCTGTGGTGGGAGAACGCAACATTCAGTTTTCATTGCGTACGGCAGTTCTGACTGCAAGGTCTGGACTCAGCTGCCCTTTGATTCGGCGTGCACCTTCAGCATTAGCCACACGTGGCGCATGAGCAAGTCATTGAAGCAGCGTAGTCTGTCTACCACTTCTTGCAACATGGAATTGTAGGTTTACACATTGTTGAAATTCCCTTGGGCCGCTTTAGCTTGATTCACGCGTCTTCAGCTCTAGCGTCGTTGTTGGAAAGACTGCTATGCTTCATACAACCAAGCCGGTCCAGGAAGCACAGATGCGCAGAAAGGGAGAAGCTCACGCATTGCTCAAGCATTGTTGGTGCCAGCAGACGACCACGATACTGACAGCTGTCCTTCGACCTTCGCTCAAAGACCAGAAATCTAACACCCCGCAGGCTACTACTCGTAGCTGCTCTGTATCTGCATATGGCCAGGATGCAGCTCAACTCCTTGCATTGCTCGGCGTTTAGATGAAGGTCCCCGCGATGTCATAGTGACGGTGTGGTTCCAGTTTAACGGGGTGCTGACCGTTCGCAGAGCTTCTGCCTTGGCCATGGTGGGTGTGGTGTGGCCGGAGAACCATCTCCGGCGCCTTGCCTGCACTTTTCATGGTTGCTTCTTGCCGTTTTCTTGTGTGCAGTCTTCCCGCGCACACTCCTGAACACAAATGGGGCGGCACCTGGGGTGAGGTGTTAGGTTGAGTTGTGCAGGGTTCGGAAAGGTGGGGTTGGTGGGGGTGGGGGGGTGGGGCGATTGCTCTTTTGGGAGGGGAGGGAGGTGAGCTGGGAGCGCGGATACAAGGGTCGCGTCGGCTGAGTGACCAGAGCATCGCTGACTCTGTGGAATGCAGATGGAAGACGACGCAACCATACACCGCATCATTCAGTCGCAATACGACACCGAGATGCCAAGCGTTTGGCCTGGTTTTTTTACATGTTCTGTTGCAGGAAATACATATGCTTACCTACTGGTGTGTTCAAGTTCGGCATGACTGTAGCGGCAGATGTGGCATGAGTTTGCCCCTAAGGAAGCAACCCGAGGGGACTGCGTTGTTGGCCATGCTGTCGCCGGGCTGCAAAGGTTTTCTTGGAGATCACTCGGCTTACATGAGCGCATGTGAGCGCCATCTGTCGACTCAAGCTTTCCGTCTGCCAGCAGACGGTTAGCACATGTGAGCACCGATGCTTACACATGCTTAGGTCCCGCGGTGCTCCTTTCGGTTTGGAGCCTCTCGGCTGGTGACGTGCATATGTGATCTACGCAGGGGGGGAGGGAACATGGGTAGCGCGGCAGGGTGCATGACCTTTCAAGGTCTGCACGCTGAGTCGAGCGGAAGCTTGTGTCTGTACGTAGCTGTTGGGGTCAAAAGCTCGCAATAATGGTTCTCTTTGGATCCCTGTTGTCTCAGAAAGTGATGGGTGATGGCAATATGTTGACCAAAACGTATGCATACCATCATTCGAATGGCTCACAGACAATCCTCACATATCCTCACATTCGGATACCGGACGCTCGTCTTTTTTCGGTCGCAGGCGATAGTCGTGCCAGTGGGGTACGAAAGAATGGGCAACCCACCCTCTCATTTCCCGATCTTGTTGGGTGGGTGGGACAAGCATTTTTTTGCCACATCTTCTGGAGAACCAGTGCGACTCTCGAAAACTCTTAATGCGTGTCAGCGTATGATGTGATGTGACAAAGTCACATTCTACACAACTCTTTTCCACAGAAAAATGCACCACTACTTCGCATGTTCGCTAGCATGCCCCGTGCCAACCAGCACTGCAACAGCTAGTGTAGAGAGATCCATCAGCAAAGCTGAAGTATGTGATTGTTTGCGCTGTTTGCGCCCCTTCATGGGAACTTTAGGTTGCAAACGCTCGACTTGCCCATCCGAGGTGCTCGAATGTGGAAGTGGAAATTCTGTGGAACGCGCTGCAAGAAGCTGAGAAGCGCGCCCGACAGTTCAAATCCATGCCCCTCGGCATGACGCGAAGCCTTGCATGCTCGAGCTTCTACACTGCTAGGTGCCAGGGGTCAAATCACGAGACTTGGAACGGGAAGCCCAGCATGGGCCCTAACACCAACAACTAGCAGAGAGTGTCCAGAATGGCCTGAACGGCGTGTAAAGATGTGTAAAAAGTCAAGGTGAGTCGGCATGACTGTCAACCACTAGCGCCAGGATCCTATCACTTCGCATATCTTGGTTTCCTCCTTTCCGAATAGCGACTTAAATGAGGTGCGTGGGGGGTCACAGGTCAGAAAAGTCAGAAGAAGCTAGCTGACGCTTCATTGTCAAGCTTCGGCTTTGACCGGACACGCGAGGGGTTTAGGGTTGAGGGTTTAGATCCCCGCCCACGCTGCACCTCCTCAAAGGATGTTTTTTTGCAGGCCCACAGGCAACTGTGTGTTTAGCCGGCCCGGCGTAAGTCCCTCAGAAATCCTCAGAAAGCTGCAGGACTGTCCCTAAGCTTCGTGGAGGGCAGTGGTGGTGAGTGCATGTATGAGATATCTTGAGGAGCGCTCGAGCACTGGATTCAAATTTTCGGGTCACACATAAGGTATGAGGACACGTGCCAGAAGCAAGTCGAGCTGGAGGCCGCAAACAATAATCTGATGGATTTGGTAGCAGCGCTGGAGCAGGAGCCCCTTGGTGTGAATGAGGGGGGCTGCGGTCTTGGCATGTCGTTGCGTTTCTGCCACCTTTTCAATCGCAGGGCTTAGGAAAAGGAGCATCTCCATGTTTTTGCAACTCGCATGGGTTCGTTTATAGCTGGGTTCTCCATACTTGCAGGTCTAAGAGTGTTCTGAAGAGCAGTGAACTGGTAAGCAGATGTAAGCAGTGGAGAGAAGTGGAGAGTGGCAGGGGAAGAAGTGCTTAAATGGGCCCTGGCGCGGCCCTGTACCGAGGCTTTGCCAGAGAGATGGCGAGCTGTTTGATGCCAAGGACTCCCTGATCTCCCAGTCCGTACAGTGACTTGCCTCACGGTTCCAAGCTCAATGGCATTTGGGGTGTTTACAGCACGAAGCCCAAGGTGCCAAGCCCTCCAAGAAGAGTTGCAGCAAGCGCGTTGGGCATGCAGCGGCGCTCGCTGCAGCCTGGAGAAGCTTCAACACGAGCTGCTTGCCTGATTTGTACTTGACATTTGCCGACATGACGACTCAAAGAGCAAGCTTGCAAAGTGGTGTACACGTCCCGCACGTTGACTCCTTGCAGTTCCGCGAGTTGACATCGGACCCAGGTATGACGGCTCATGTCAGCGACTGGAACCGGCCGAGACCCAAAACAACGAGCTGACGGTGCTGGCGGCAGCCCTGCAGCAGCAGCCTCTTGGGTGCGAAGCAGAGGCAGCAGTAAGTTTAACGCGATGCGACCCGCCTCGGCCTGAGCTTCTGCTTCCCCTCCCCCCACACCTCACAGGTTACCCTCCCCGTTTCCTGACTCGCAAGTATCCCCTCACCCGCACGCGACGCAAAGCTTTACACGTGCGCTTTTTGCGCAAGCTGAATTTGTCAGTGCATGCCGCGGGTGACACGTCGCCATTACAGGCTGGGAGTCCTTTTGACCCGTCCACGACTCGAACACCTCAAACCCCAAACGTCAACGCTGCAGACCTGACGAGTTCCAGGCACACCCTCTCCCAGATACAGGAGCTTTGTTGCGGGTTGAAGCACCCACCACTCTTCACCTCAAGCTTTCCTGCTAGCTGCTTTCTCTACGGACCCAAAGCCCGACTCCCTGGCGAAGAAACTGAAGCGATGGCAGTGGGAACTCCCCCCGGGGGGGTGGGCTGGGGGCGGGGGTGGGGGGGGAGGAAGAAAAAGCAGAAGGTCCTGGAGGGGTTGTCTCCAAGGCCGCTGCTCAGCTCATTTCGCAATATCTGGCACGTGCACATGCTTGGACAAGCGTGGAAAGCTAGCACAATCATTTAAGTCTGCTAGAAGGAAGACTGCTCTCGCACAACGAACGAGGTCCATTGAGGAAGACCCTGTGCGCCGGAATCTGGACTGCGAGTTCTTCAACGTGGCTGATGAGGGTGACCAGCAGGAGCTGGGGCGCTGTGTTCTTGATCAACGCAGCGGGGAAGACGCTGGCTGTGGGTGCTGCTGTCATAGCAAGTGTGGCCAAGGATTATGGTCGAGTCTGTCAGCCATAGTTAAAGTTGAAGGACCAAGATGCTTGGAGCATTGACGACTGGAGCGGCTTTGAACCGGTTCCTCGCTTTTCAGAATTGTTCCTCAGCGCAGCGTTCTGCATTTGCTCACATTGCGATCACACTATGAGTTAAGGCTTGCCGGTGCTGAGTCTCAGTAATTGTAAACACTTGCCCGCGCCGGCAGCGGACCGGCCCACGTCCCACCTTCCAAAGCGGGTCCCAAAAAACCTCCATGCAGTCCCGAAATTCTTGAGGCTATGTAGGTACCAGGGAGGGTTGGACCGGGGGGGGACTAAAAGGTCGAGGAAATTTATGGGGGTGGGTTGCCACAGATTCTAGGGGAGGTTTCAGGAGCCCAGGGAGCCAGAAAGGGTTTCCGCCGACGGAACGGCATCCTCCAAGCGATCTTGGCGGGGCGGTCGCGGGGGGTGCGGTG